AGTTATTACGCGCCGCGGCCTCTGGTGCTTGGGCCGCCCTGAGGAGCCGGGGCCGGGCGGGGCGAGCTGACGGCCCCGGGTCGCTGAGGCCGCTGGAGAAGGAGGCGGCGGCCGAGCGGAGGCGCCCGTCCGGCAGACTCCGGGAGTCGGGAGGAGGCCGAGGGGACCATGTCCGGGAAGCGCTACCAGTTCTCTACTACCGAACGCGCCATCAAAGGTGCCAAGCGGGCCGGGTCCTCCGCGCCCTGCGGGAAACGGCCCCGGGCGACGGCTCGGGAGGGCGGGCAGGTAGGAGGGAGGCTGGGGCCCAGGCTGCGACCACCCCCGAGGAGCTCCGGCAGGGCTGTGGGAAAGGTGAGGACGGGCATCCCCCAGGGAGCTGCATCCCCCACGGGGACCCCGGCATCCCCTGTAGCGCCTAGACCGGTAGTTGGGTGGAGATCGGTGGATTAACCTCCAGGAGGGTTGACTTCCAGCAGGGTGGGGGCGACTTCTTCCACCACCCCTAAAGGGTCTGGATCCCCATCGTTTTGTTCTTTTTTTTTTTTTTTTTTTTTTTAAAAAGATGACTGGTAAGGGGATCTCAACCCTTGCCTTGGTGTTGTCAGCACCACGCTCAGCCAATGAGCAAACCGGCCATCCCTATATAGGATCCGAACCCGCGGCCTTGGTGTTATCAGCACCACACTCTCCCAAGTGAGCCACGGGCAGGCCCACCCATCGTTTTGTTCTTAAAGAAACGATCCCACTTTGCTGGTCTCTAATCTGGAGAAGCCATCTCGGATGGTGTGGGTAGGGAATCGAGTAGACTCTTCCAAGTCAGATCTTTCTTTAGGATCAGATCTTTCTTGACACTCCCCCCCATACCACCCTTTTTGAGGACATATACCGTGTTCCTTTCGGCCCACTTTCGCTAGGTCCTCGCAAATCACTGCTGTTACTAAAAGAAACTTAATAGGGTGAAATAAATGGAAATAGAACCATTTTATGAGGTTTGAAAGGGATTTACGGAGCTCTTGACATGATGTTGGTCTTTTATTTTCTCGTTGGCTATAGACATTTGGAGAATAATGTTGTCTGATTCAGATGTACTCCTGTATTAGCTTTTTGTTGTTGTTATAAGAACAAAACATAAAGTGCTCATTTCTAATCTTCTATTGTTTCTGCCCGTAAACTAATAAGACCGGTTAAACATAACCACTAATTTATGTGCTGCTTTTGTTCAGCAGTTAAGACTTAGGCACAGCCCTTCTCTCTCTCAAGTATTAACAATCGGGTTTGAACGCGCTATTTTGATAATAAGAAGGAAATATACTTAGGCCAGCGATGTTAGTGGCCTCTAGATGAATGGCTTAGCATTGTAGTGAGGAAAACTATTAAAATACTTTTTTTTTCCTTTTGGTATTAGAAGGAGGAAGGAAACTAAGGATTGGTGAGAAGAATACATTTTTTTAAGGGGATGAGCCCAGATTGAATGTTCAGGGAGGGAGAAAATTTTTAACATGTAACTTAGGCTCTTTTTTTTCCCCCTAGAAACATCAGCATCATAAATATTGATAATGTATACTACGTAATATTTAGTAAATATAATGGGATTTTTGAGATTTGTATCATTGGAGATTTAAGTGAATTGTTCATATAACTGACATTATCCCTTTAACAGCTAAATTATTTTGACCATTTTAGTGTAAGTCTTCATAGTACTCCTGTATAACCCATAAGGAGTATATAACCTCTCCTAAGATTCAGAATATAATAAACATAACCTTTTTTGATGAATCAAGGTCATGATTATGTACATTTATTTCTGTACCGTAGTGTTAATATGGCCGGTGCTTTCCCCTGTGTAAGAGTGTTGGCGCTTGCCTCCTGTACAGAAATGACCCCTTACTGCTATACCATTTTATTGTTTTGTCTGTTTTTAGTTTATCTCTCCAGTACTGTTCTCTGTCAGAATATGTCCTTACTGCCTTCTAATCCGCCACTTCTAAGCCGAAGTAGGCAGGGAAACCAGATAAACCAGAACTGTGTGTCAAGGCAGAATAAATAGGATCTGAGTGAAGCTTAGTGGCAGCCCTCACTCAGACCTTCAGGAATCTCAAAATCTGATCACCATTGCACCTTGTCATTTCCACCATAACAGGCCATAAGATATACAAGAAATATTGAAATGACCTTTTCAGACCTTTAAGTATAGAAGTAAAGTACTTATTTATTTATAGAAGTAAAACAAAACACTGTTAAAATGTAGGTGCTGGTTTATTACTAGACATGTTCATAAAGTGAACACCACTTTCATAGTCTGCATGACGTGAATTTGTTCTTTAGCAAAATTGCAAATTACTGGGCCGGCCCGGTGGCGCACTGGATAGTGCGCCGCTTGGGAAGTGCGGCGGCGCTCCCGCCCGAGGGTTCGGATCCCACATACAGACCGGTTCTCGCTCACTGGCTGAGCAAGGCACGGGAGCAACACCGAGGGTTGCGATCCCGTTGCTGGTTCCCGGTCCAGTACGGGGGCAACACTGAGGGTTGCGATCCGTTGCCGGACACGGAAAAAGACAAAAGACAAAAAAAAAATGCAAATTACTGTTTGTTGCGTACTTTTACGACTACTCTTAAATAAATGAAACATGACTTCAGGCCCTTAGGATGTGTGGATTTATCTCATATAAGCACTTTATTTATTTATTTATTTATTTATTTATTTTTTTGTCTTTTTCCATGTCCGGCAACGGATCGCAACCCTCAGTGTTGCCCCCATACTGGACCGGGACCGGCAACGGGATCGCAACCCTCGGTGTTGCTCCCGCGCCTCGCTCAGCCAGTGAGCGGGAACCGGTCTGTATGTGGGATCCGAACCCTCGGGCGGGAGCGCCGCCGCGCTTCCCAAGCGGCGCACTATCCAGTGCGCCACCGGGCCGGCCCCCTCATATAAGCACTTTAGCATAAGAACTTGAACACAGCAATTTTGGCTTCTTGGTGACCTATGTTGCTTTTTTTCTGGGTTTTCCAGAGTTCGAAACAGTTGAAATTTCTTTTAAGAAAATAAGGTTACAATGTGTACATAGCCAAGGTCCATTGTATTGGGTACTGAATCCTGGTCTGATGCGATTTTGTCTGGTCAGAGTTGTCTGCATTTATTCACAGCTCAAAAGCTTTTTCAGAGGTGATACCACACCTCAGTTATTTTTGGTTCTGTCATTTCCTGTAAACTTTAAAATCTGCTTTATTGTTTTCTTTGAACAAATCTTGGAGAAGAGTGGGTGGACAGGCGTGATTCATACTTGGGTACTTCAAGAAGTTCATGGAAAAGTAGAATTAAAAGATAATACTAATCTTTCCATCAACTTTTTGAAGTACCCTCATATTTTGTGTCCTTTAAACGGCAGCTTTCCCAAACTGAAAAAGAACGACACGGTTAGACAACCTAGGTTTTACTCCTGCTGCTGGAGCTGATTTGTGACCATGCCTTTTTTCTTCCCACCTTATCTTTCTACTTAACCTTTTTTTGCTCATCTGTAAAATAGGGTTAATAATACCTTTCTTGTCAAGTCTGGGTCTTGCAAATGACATGTGAAAAACTTAAGGTAGTATCATGAAACATGATAGTTTGATAATAGATTGCTTACTACATAAGTGGTTAGTAGAGATATCATTAACATTTGAAAAATATCAGAATTAGAAAGTATGTGAAATTATAACACAAGTTAGGAAACCGTTTTTAGTCAGGAAAATATCCATTCTGCAATATAAAGGATATTTGGGTGGCATCCCATTGGTAACAATTTGAAGAGACCAACACAGTTCTGTCTAGTACTTCTCTGGCAGCTGATTTCTTCTCTAGCAGGTGAAAGTGTTTATTTTATGTTTAAAAACTCTTATGATTTCACTCATTCATTAAATATGTTTTGTTTTTGGCTTTTTTTTGGCGGCCGGCCAGTAAGGGAATGGGAACCCTTGACGTTGGTGTTATCAGCACCACATCATTAAATGTTTATTGACTGCCATCTTCAAGGTACCCTAATAGGTGCTCGTTTGTTTCTTCTTTGATTGATTGATAGCTTGACTGATTTGCGGATGGCTGGTTTTGGGATCCGAACTTCTTTGCTTTGAAACTTTTCTGTGAGCCTCTAGAGCAGTCCGTATGCAGTGGGGCATCACTACTGGAATTTGGAGGAGAGAACTCGAAACTCAAATGATTGCATTGTGAAATTCTTTCAGCTTGATCCCTCCCCTACCCCCCCACCAGTTTCCAAGTTTCTTTGGCTGTCTGAAGAAAGTTTTTTTCTTTGACAATGATTTTTATTTTTATTTTTATTTTATTTTATTTTACTCTAGAGCAGTCCGTATGCAGTGGGGCATCACTACTGGAATTTGGAGGAGAGAACTCGAAACTCAAATGATTGCATTGTGAAATTCTTTCAGCTTGATCCCTCCCCTACCCCCCCACCAGTTTCCAAGTTTCTTTGGCTGTCTGAAGAAAGTTTTTTTCTTTGACAATGATTTTTATAAAACCACTTTATTCCTCTGGACTGACTGAATCTTTTTAGAAACAAGGAAATTTCGGTAGGAATTATATGACAGATACGGAGATCACATTGTCTAAATTTCTTATTTGGTGGCCGAACAGGATTTAACAGAAAAGTCGGACTTCTTTTCAGTGAGATGCTGATACATTTCTCCCATTCTCTTGGAATTCAAATACACTGTATATTCACAGAGTACTGTACAATTTGTAGCACACATAGATAGCTACTGATTCTTTGATATCCTGGCACTGGGAATATTGTGGCTATAGCCTTCTTAAAAGATTTTAAGAGTAATGTGGACAAAAATTGACATTTCCACAAGTATTCCCTGAACCCCATTTCAGTCTCTGGTACCTGTACTTCATTTTTTCCCACAGCTCTTGCCCCCTCTCTCCCTTTTTTGTTTCATGAGAATAGATTTATTGAGGGTTTAATAAATTTTTTTTTCTTAAATATAAGCTTAACCCTGCTAATTATAAAATTTGAAAGGCAGAAAAGGAAGAAAACAAAGATTTCATATATTCCTTCCAGAAACAACTTCAGAAACAACTGTTTTTAATACTTTCCTGTATTTCCATCTGCTGGTATATTTTGAATTCAAAGGAAAATGGATCATACACATTAAAGATTTTGTTATACAAATATTTCATATTATTTTTAACATAAATATTGTAATTCTACCTAAATA